AAGAATAAAATAAAGATTTTAGTAACTTAAAGATACTCTACAAGCTAAAACCCTATAAAAAGTAAAACAGTTTTAAATTTAGACTCCCAGCTTTTATGAAACTTAATTTTATTCCATGATTTTAGTGAGTTCAGTGTGCTCTGTAAGAATAGATCATATGATCATTTATCCACCATCTCTCTAGTTGGACCATTAATTTCTTTCTATTTTTATGGTAGAGACGGGGTCTCGCTCAGGCTGGTTTTGAACTCCTGACCTTGAGCAATCCGCCCGCCTCGGCCTCCCAGAGTGCTAGCGATTACAGGCGTGGAGCACGCGCGCCCCCGCCTCATTCACGTTTAAAAGAGCATTTATGATACTCAATGTGCTAATGTAATTATCTCATTCAGGCAAATATTGCAGTTCAACATAATACATATTATCCACCTTAAAAATCAAACAAATATACTATACAAGTATTCAAGGGAAATGCATGAAGGTACGACTGTATTTCTACCTTGGGCTTTAATAATATTCTAAATAAAAAGCATGATTGCTTAAATCCTCAACAGACATACAACTTATAATGTACAACCTTATAAGTGTACCCTTATAAGACAGGGTACACTTGTCATGCATTATCCTTCATGCATTTCTCATCATCACGTAATTAGGATGGTTTCCATTCATATCAATCATATACTTTTATAAATTAATTTATTGAATCAGAAAAATTTTCATGTCACTACACTTCTATAACTCACAAGCTATTAGAGGAATTTATATGGAAAGGGGGAGGGGTCCAAGTATGTTTATTCCATCCAACTTTGTCTTCAGAGAGTTTGGAATGTTTTTTCTTTTAAATATTTCCAGCATATGTTATACGAATTTCTTTAAGGCTCAGGATGAGGAAAGGTTCCACTGGATACACAGACTGGCTCAGGGTGCTTAAATCCTACAACACCAAACCCCAGTTAACTTTCAGAAAACACTTAATTTCTTCAGGAATATCTCTAGACCTTTCCCACTCAAACCCTTTAATTTTGTCCTAGTTTGTCTTGTTCTGTGTATAGCCATGACAGTTCATAATGGTAGTAATAAAATAATAACATATGCTTACCATCAGGTACTATAATACTTTTCAAAAATTTTGTGATTGGCGCGGGCGCTGGGCCCGCCTGTAAATCCCTAGCTCCTTGGGAGGCAGAGGCGGGCGGATGTGCTCAACGTCAGGACGTTCGAAGACCAAGCCTGAGCATAGAGTTGAACCCCGTCTCTACTTGAAATACCGAAACGAAAATTAATTCAATTGGCCAACTGATATATAACATAAAAAATTAAGCGGCGCATGGGTGGCGAATGCTGTAGTGCCGCAGCCTACCGGGTAAGCTGAGGCAGAAGGATCACTCGGCAA